CTAAGTTGTAGTTTACCAACGAAGAGCGATGTCTTAAAACAATTATCAAGCTCTAACGTGATATTTAACGACGCAGTTGCTTTGACGCCGCGAGTGTACGCAGCTGACGTCTTCTCGGGCTTTTTCAATAGCTTCATCAGCGCCTGCGCCCCGGTGCTGCACGTCTTTCGCTCATGTCTTTTTGAGCAAGATGTTCTATGCCGTCTGATATGAAGTTAAAATTATGTATCTACATAGGTTTCAATACGTTATCCTTAGATATGGCATTACCTCTTGTTGACGCGCATTGTCATTTGCATGATAGGCGATTGGGTTCATATGATTCAGTATCGAGCCTTCAACTCTTCGAAAGCGTGCTCTATAGAGCTCGCAATGTCCATGTCCATTACATCGTGTCCTGCGCGACCCATGAAGACGACTGGTTGGTCTTAGAGCAGATGATGAAGCAACAGGCAGACAGATCAATGATCAAGATTGTACCAGCCTTTGGCATTCATCCGTGGTGGAGTCACCAATCGAACACGGACAGCTTGAAACTTCTTTTGGACATTTTGATGCAGTATCCAACAGCAAGTGTACGTAACGACTACTTCGAATGAAAGCTGTCTAACAATTTATATGTTGTAGGTAGGGGAAATTGGTTTGTGCAAAAGTGTGAGAGGACGTCAAGTACCACTGGATGTGCAGGTTGAAACATTCAAATCGCAGCTAGGGATAGCGGCAGAGTTAAAAAGAGCTTGTGTACTGCACTGCGTGGGACACTTTGACAAGTTGCTAGGGATTTTGCAAGGTGTCAGGCATGCTAGTGGTAAATTGCCTCCGATTCTTATTCTACATTCGTTTAGCGGGTCGCCAGATATGATGAGGTCATTTCTCAGGCTACAGGAAACTAAGGTATTCATCTCTTTCAATGCGAAGCAGCTGACAGACCCGCGAATGAAAAAAGTTGTGGCATGCTGCAAGGAAGTGCCATTGGAGGCCCTTTTGCTTGAAACTGATGCCCCTGATCAAGCTCCTTCGATCGAGCATGTCAGTCAATTATTTAAAAATGAAAAGTGGGGCGATGCAGGTGTTCCTCTGCTGTTATCAGAGAATTCGGCAGCTGTAAATGAGCCTTGCATGGTAAAACTTGCACTGCAAAGTGCCACGGAACTTCGGGGTATTCGAATTGATGAACTGGCTACTCTTGTATATCAAAACTCCAAATTAGCCTTTGGAATTGACGATTCCGATTCAAATTGAGCAATGAACGAGAAACGTGTTTCGTCTTATCATGTAGTAGGTGAAACTTGTAAGTTTGCGGTCTAAACGATAAGTGCCTTAGATCGCAGCGTAGTCCATATCGCTATACGGTAGTGACTCGAGCATTGGCTCCATCAATCCTAACAAAATGCTGTCATTTCAAGTATGATACTTTACTTTATCTGTGAACGAAGCTCACCTTTGTCGTACTCGTCTGGATTCACCGTAGAGCGTGCTTTAATCTTGGCGATTACCAGCACAGCAATTGTCGCTCCACTTACTAGAAGAGCTGCAGCTTCAATAGCCACGGGAGCGCTTCCAAGAGGCAAAGAAAGAAAAAATCCTACGTGATGCACTGTCGTCGCGGCTGTGACTGGCTTCAGTTTATGAACCACTTCCGCATCCCCACTTTCAACGGAAAGGGGCTTCACCTCAACATCTTCCAGAGACGTCGTCACATTTGTCTCTTCAAATGCGTGCGCTATCTTGATCGCTGCTTCTTCATTTTTAGTATCATTTGCATGAGGCTCCATAGCTGCCTCACAGCTCGCAGCACCGAAAAGCAGGCATGCAGATATGATTATCGCTTGCAGCCATTGCATGATACCACTTGCTGATACTCGACTGTTAATTGAATAGATATCTCGTAGTTCTTAAAGGATCGCGCAATGAAGCGTCATCGAGTATCTGGCCGATTATTTTTTATTCAGCCAAAGGTCTCTCTCCCCCTAAGCGTCCCAATCTTACATAATTATTTTTCGTTTCAGATTATTCAAGAAGCTGATAACGTGGTGGCAAGGATCTTGTAATGAGCTCCGCTTTATTATATATGGCGATTGAAGATGACATTCTTACTAACTAATAACATGACTAAATAACTTTCTTTTCAGTCAGACTGAAGCTGATGTATTGAGGAAGTGATTGTGGTGGCGACCTATAGCAAATAAATAAGACGTTAAAGCATAGTAGTCTGTGCGGCAAAATGGAAAGATTTACCTGAAATCCATTGCCTGACAAAGTGGGTCGTGACATTTTTGATAAAATACACGCTGCTGGATGTCTACGATATACATGATATTATTACTCTTGTGCGCCCGCTGAATGTTCGCACACCAACGATTAAGTGCCATGTGGTATACAATCGCATACGGTTGCATAATTGAGTTCACTTGTCCCGGAATCTCCGCTTCAGTAGCCTTCACAACTGGTTTTGTCGACTTGCTCGTCAGCAGCATTTGAATAGCACGAATTTCGCCTTGCACCCCACCCTTATTTGCTTGCGAGCGAATAAAAGAGTCGAGCTCGGGGTACACCGATTTCTGGCATTCAATTGACGAGGTAGATATATTTCGGCTGCGCCCTAGCGGTGTGACCGATGACCGACATCGAAGCAGACGATGGTTCCTACTTTTGAGATCAGATTTCAATAGATCGCAAGACGGAAATGGACACACCAGAGTTTTCTCGAACAACTCTTGATCAAGCTTGGGTCCAGCAAAGGGACCCAGCAAACGTAAAACAGACTTTTTTTTATACTTGGAAGAGCCCAATACTCGAAACATGCGATTACGAGTATACACGCTCATATCAATAAAAAGTTGTTTTTTGTCGACAGAGTCACCAGCCGACTCTGTATTTACAAGAAATGGTGATAATAGACCATCAGAAGTCTCGTGTTTCTTGACATGTACGGCCGCCAGATCGCGAATGAATTCGCGCACAAACTGGATATCAAAAAATGTCAGATTTTGTTGCTAATCGACAAAAATGACAATTGTATCATTACTGAGCCAGCATGAAGATTGTTCATGAAGAGGCTACCATCAGGAAGGTGAATCTGTGGAAAACATTCAAAGTCATCAGATATTAGTATAAACACACCAGATTCTTCTTTTTCGTTCACCAACAATGAGATGGCGGCTGAATTTATCAGGAGTTGACGAGTCCAGCTCATATATGTCTTGACGAGCAACGTAGAGTCTGTAACAACGCTAAACTCAGCGTCAGACCAACAAATCTCGTCAAAATTGATATGATCCTTACGAAAAGCTGTAGCTGGAGCAAAGACACGAGCCTCGCCACAAGTGCATCACCATCGACATGCACATTTATACGTCGTTTAAACTCCAGATCAAAATAAAGACGACAGGGTACTCCATCGCGTATGATTTCGTAAACGTGTCGTTCATCGTTGCGAGTCGCTGTGTACTTCTTCCAGAACTCGGCAAAACTGGAAACAAAAAAACGCCGTTTTCCGTTATTCGCATCCTCAAAGGAAAAGATGCGCGGTGTCTCTCTGATGCTATTCTCAGTCAGAGATGATTTACCAGAGAAAACTGCAATTTTTCGTTGAGAAACAGCGACTTGGTCGGCAAACTCGAATGCTTCTTGTTGTCGAGGGAACGATGAAGAGATTGGTGCCGTGCCTTCAAGCTGACACGTCAGTGAGCGCGAGACTCGAAATTGCAGCTTCTCATAGAATGATCGCCACTTCGCATCAGCCAAAAGGGCTGAATCCAACGATGCTGTGTCTGCTGTTCCATAAAACGCTTTCGCCGGTAACGCTTTCCTACGTGTAGAAATCTTAATAATTTTTATTCCAGCAGACTGATGCTCCAACTCCCGTTTAGCTAGACACTGTTTAGCAGTACTGGATAATGGAACCGTTGGAAACGCTGCTACTAAAGCAACTAGCAGCTCCTCCACCGCCTCCATTTTGGAAAGCACTCGATTGCGTTCGTCACTTGACTGCGTTATACCATGCAATTCGAGTTGTGGTAAAGGGAGTTGTACACGGCCAAAAACATAGCCTTGTTGCAACGAATCATTTACGTCCACCACCACTAAAACATTTGACACAAATGGAGATGGACTAGCTGAAACAACAATGATCATTGTAAAGGGAAGTACACATGATTAATAAATTTACTAACCTGTATATGGAGAAGCATGACAATGTATCAGCTGGCAAAAAAAGACTTTGATTTAGCTGCATAGGCGTCTGTTGGATATCAAATGTCGGACAATGAGCCAGATAAAGACCCGGTTGTGTTGTGCTTTGTGCATCAACATCAAGCTGAGATCGCAACCATATCTGAAGACTGAAGGGAACGACATCCACCTCGTGTTGCTCTGCATCTTCGATGACGTGTAGAGGTGTGCCGAGCATTCCCGTCCAGACGCGACACGCTTCACTTTTAAACACTACTGAGCTCATCAAAAAAATATTGGATTCTAAAAAATGGGTACATTTGCTTAGCACATTTACATACTTCAAGATACATATTTTTATTAACACGGATCCGAAATGAAAACTGCCTATTTCCCGCAGCAATACATGGCTGCATACGCAAGGGCTCCAAATTTATGTCTGGACTAGACAAGGTTATAATATGATCACGACAATGATAAGGACCTATATTGCTTGAGTAGGGAGAGTGTGTAATTTGTTAGTATTGTAAGAGTATATATCAAGCCCTAAGGCAAAGGCACAGAAAGATAAAACGACAACTGCTCATGATGCTATAATTGTTTTGAAAGATCAGACATATGCATCTCGCTTAGCATCCGCATGGTTGACGCATCGCGTGCTGCATAAAATGCAATAGCAGCATGAACATCATAACAATGTTGAGGTTCCAGTCTGTCAACACTTCAGTGTTGGACAATCAAATGCAACCCCCTTAAAATTAAATACGCACCTCCGAACAAATCGTGGTCAACTTGTGCGTTCAAAGCTTGCTGATCGGCAGTTTCAGCATGTGCCTCCACCTGGCGATCATGTCGTTGAGGACCCGACACTGTGCACGATATAGCGGCAGTATTCTTAGGTAAAAGAGATAAGGAGATATACAAACACTGCATCGTTCTATAAATACTGCAAATGCTGATACCAAACTTAAGAGTCATAAAAGCGAGGATTGCAACGTGATGCAGAAGCGCACTGGGCGACCAGTGCACCCTCTATGGGCGCACTTTCATCGTGGAGAAAAGCGAAATCGTTATCATTACCATGCTTATTGTGTATACTGCGTGGCTCGCCATGGCATTGATCATGTGTCACCTACACGTGGGGTATCCACCGATCTTCTTCGTCATCTCGAGTGCTGTCCCGATTGTCCACACAACGTTGTGGAATCGATTAAACAGCTTTGTGGGTTACGTGAGCGAGTGTCTCAAGTGAAAAAGCGCGAAATTCGAGGATATGAGCCTGCAAACCCTCCTTTTAGTTCCAACGAAGACCAAGTTTTGCTTCTACAATCCGTCGCAGCGCCTTCAACGAATCAAAGCACACTGAGGGGTGACGCAGCCAATGGGTCGGAACGTTTCGTAAGCGAAAAGGGAACAGAAAGTGATAGCGATTCAAAAAATGATCTCGAAATGGAAAATGCGTCAAAAATGACTGCCAAGCGCCGCCGCAGAGAGAGTGATAACGAGTTAGAAAAGGACGTACTATTCAGATGGAAGACAAGTTTATTGCAAATGGCAGTAGCAGCAAATATTTCTTTGTCTGCTTTTCAAAAGCGAGAATTTCAGAAATTACTACTAGTGTTGAGCCCCGTTCGAGATATAAACCAGAATATTATTAGCCAAGTGGGCAGTAAAGCGTTTCTTAAAGAGACGGCAACCAGATTGGCTTGTACTCAATTGGATCGAATGAAAGAAGGCACGCTTAACTCCACCATTACAAGCGGCCTGACGTTGAGCATATCCTGTTGGCGCACTTTGCGTCAGCAGAATTTAGTGGCATTTACGCTTGTTAATTCCAATGGAGACGCTGCTTGTGTTCGTGTTGAAGAGTTACGACGCCCAAGTTACGCATGTGATAACGAAAATGACTCCATGTCTTCCAAGTCACTGCGGGGCGTGGCAAACTTACTGCCGCTTGCAGACGCCATTGAAGATGTTTTAAAAGATCTCGAAAAGAAGAATATCTGTGTCGTAGGTATTGTTGCGGACTCTACTGTTGCTCTATATGCGTCAATGCGGGTTTGCAAGAATGAACGATGGCGCTCTTTGCTTGTAATTCCTTGTATGTCCACGCTACTATCGTTTTTAGCTGGCTGTGTCTTGACAAACGAGAGATATTGCAATACCGTGGGGCAGTTGGTCGAAATTGCTGCATATTTCTCTAATTCTCAACTTCAAACATCATTGCGTCTCGCTTCTGGCGAGAAAAATGCCCGGATTCCTATTCCAAGTCGAGCCAATTGGTATTCGTTTATCACTTGCGTGTCCACAACTTTGCACTACAGTGACGTGATAACTGCTCTATGCGAATCTCGACACCAAAGCGACTATCCTTTGGCGCCGTTGCGACTACGTGAACTTGTTCTTGATAACGATTGTCAACTTTGGAAGGCGCTGCGAGAATTATTGGCGCTTCTCGCTCCGCTTCGTGAAGCCTACAACTTTTTTTTCCGTCCGAATTGTCAACTAGAAGATATAGGTGAAATTGGCGTATCTACAAATTTTGTGAATGAAGGAATCTCGCTTGGTCACGTCATGTATCAGTTTGGTCGCATGGGCCAGCAGTACGCAGCGCTCACCGAATCAGCCGATCGTGATTCATCCATTAGCAATAACGAGGACATTGCAGTCGTGGCACGGCAGATGTATGGAGCTCTCGATACTATCTGGCAACGCTATGATCTGCCGACCATGGTGCTTGCGTACATGTTCGACTTTCATTTAAGCAGTGAACGGCTAAATACGCGAAACATTTCACTTCAATGGAAAGCTGTGTCCTCTTACTTTCATCTCAATTTTCACCGCTGGTTTTGTGGAGCATCTGAAATCCAGAGTGGAGCAACACTCATACCATCGATCCCAAGAGACAAAGTTGAATCACTTCTAAATGCGTATCAGCTTCGCCAATTTCCATTCGATAGCGACACGACGAATTGCTATCAAGATGTGTCGTCATTCTATTCGTTCGTATCAGACTCGCATCCAGAGGTTTGCGCGCTATGTTGTCGGTTATATGCTGTGGCTTTGGCATGTGCTGATGTTCGCCGAGTGATTCGTGGAATTGGTTTTCTACCATCCGTTGCACAAACAACTGCGCGTCCAGAGTACGTAGAACTGCTCCTACACGTGGGTTTTGCGACAAATCTTAAGCGAACAAGTCCGAGTGGTACTAAGGCCACTTCAAATAACATTTTTCCCGATCTTCTGCAAACAAGTCGCCCCGCAGAATTACTGTGTAGTCAAGATGAATGGAGTTTGTTTGCAAGCGAATGGAGGGAAGAGCTTGGCAGTGAGACTGCCGTCGATGAGCTGGAGCGATCATACCAGGATGACAAGCAACCAGACAAAGAAGGTCTAGTGCTCCGCTTGTCATTAAATCAACTCTTTAACGAGGCCCTCCCGCCACTCGCTGGCGTTGTAAAAGCCCTACCTCTCGAATTATCAAAAGCTGTCGCTCAGACATCAGTTGCTATTTAGTCTTCATTCTTCGCCTTTTGCGATCTATTTTCTTTCGCGTCACATACTCTGCGGAGGTAATTTTGTGCTGATATACTTGTCATGTAACTTGCAAGTGCAATTTTGAAGTCGACGCTGGCGACTGGTGTAAGTACTAGATTCTCAAGAATCGTGTTGGTATTTTTGATTGTGAGTAATGTCGAGACACTGCTTGTGGCATTGCACAGCCTCGTGTGGCTTGTTCATCTCCAGATGCACTGCGCCATTGTTGTCTAATGCACGCCCTTCTACGACCATATCGTCAAATTACATTGGATGAAAACGTCGTCTGATTGTTTTACTACGTAATTTCCATACCGAGGTTGGGTTCGTTTAAGGCTGAAGATATCTGGGCCGTCTTGATCGCTAGAATTGCTGCTGCAAGACTAAAAGATCTGCTCACGTCCATCTTTAAAATGGCACTGGAATTGCTTGGGTCAGATACAGCACCGATTGTGGAGAGGCTTTTACTATGACTATTACGCAAGTTCTGTGTATATGTTTATGTCTTAAGGTGTATTACAGTGTTGGCGCTAGCCGCGATGAGGATGAGTGGAGTTCCATACGTTTGCTCGCACTGTTATTCAAAATGATACGAAGGGACGATAGTGCTTCAACTGAAAAGCTCGATGGCTTGTTCTTGTATGCATTGATTAATGATCTGGATGCTGTGTAGTATTGAAAGTCACCGGCGAAGATACTGAACGGGATAGAATGGCTTGCTGAGGATATGCTGTGTTATATGATTCATGCGGATATGTAGACTACATGTTTGCAAAGCAGAAACACCGATTGAAGATGGCGTTGTCAATATACCTAATGGAGGACACTTCGTACTGCTGCGAATAACCATCTGTTATTGTTACGAGTTGTTTATCATCTCGCTGACATATCTGCGAGAGCACTGCAAAACTTTGTTTATCGGACTTTCAGATGGGCAAGATCTTGTTATTGGGTAACAATCACGAGGGAGACTTTTTAACTCAGAAATAATAGACGCGGCGCATCTTTCGCTATTGCAACACGATGCACCGTCGTTAGCGCGACCAAAATTGAAGCAGACATTGCTTATTTATCAATAAAGGTTTCGCTTCTGGTACTCGTGTATCCGTTCGACAGATTATTGCTTGACAAATGTGATGCCGGTGGTGATCACAACGCTTAAATTGCTAAGAGGCTCCTCGAAAATTTTGATCAGGTCACATACTGAAAGCCGCGAGCCGCGTACAAATGATTCTGTCGGGCCCTTGAAGTTGCGACTTCGTAATCGCATCTCATAACGAATTTGAAGGTTACGTGAACCAGGTTATGTCGTCTTCTTTGGGTTTACCATGAACCTCGTTACAGTTAACGCTTCAGTGGACGGATTAGTTCATGTCGAATACTTTTTTTAATCTTACTACATCTACACCTGAGAGAGTATCCAGCCGAACCGACGTTACTCTCGTGTAAGGCAGTATTCGCATGTGAAATGCCTCGTCATTATAATCAGTATCTCAAAGCAGATTCGATTCGGCAACCAAGGCACTACCCAACTTATAGTTCTTCTAGTAAGCGGGCGAGAAATCGATGAAGGTGCGATGAATTATTAGATTTAACTAATACTTTACGTCTGTTCTAAAGGGTATTTTCTGAAACAAAATTGGGGGATAATGCGCAACGTATTATGCAGCGGAGGCTTCCACGCATATAGCAAAACCTTAACCAACAAGACGATATGAAATTAAACGCTTGACAGAGAGAGCTCTGTCCGACCATGATGTCTCGCATTAGTACTACAATATATCAAGTATCAATAGTAAATTGATTACTTAGTGCGTGCATTGGACTGCCTGACAACGCCACTATTCAAGCTTCGGCACGATGGTGTGCTCGGACGGACGCCACTGCTGTCGTTGCTGCGATGGGTGACTCACACGCGTGTTGTATCTTAAAATGGAATATCGATGTCGCTTACTAAAACTTTCGTTCATACGAACATATCCTCCGCGTGGTCGAGGGCTAAATTGTTTCACGTTTGACTTTGATATCAAGTTGTGGGACGCCACTTGTTCAGTGACGGCGTATCGGGATGATAAGGAAGCTCTCAATTCGTGAGAAGCGTCTATCCTTCCGCCGGATAATCCAGCACTTAAGGGCATATTTGCCTCAACAGAATGATCAAATTTGATATTCGAAGCTATTCTGCCATTAATTGCCAGTGGTACAGTTGCTGACATTGAAGTGGGCTGTTGGTACACATGGAGCCTCGATGGCCGGTAATTGCTGTTCATATTGCCAATAGTGCTGGACGATCGAGGAGAAATCAGAGGTTTTACCGGTCGGTGCTGTGATGACAGAAAGAGACCGACAGGCTGAGCCGTCATAGCGATACTGGCTCGTGGAGAAGGATTTGACACACCAAAGCGACTTTCAAATGGTGTTTGCAGTCGTGTACCGTGCATTTCTTGGAGTTTTGGCTGCTGCGCGTTGATAGATGGGGCCAAAGTTGGTACTTTGCTACTCGATATCGTCATCAATGGTACTGTAAGACTACCGTTTTCGACATACACGTTTGGTAATGTATCTTTCGTAGCCTCATTTGGTACAAAGCGCGGTGTTCGTTGCTGCCACTTGTGCAATGTGCGTTGGGCTGCTGAAAAGCTTCGACGAGAAATTATGGAAGAACCCGATTTGGGCAACCTGGCTGCTGCGTTAGCCAAAGCGGCAGTGCGCACTGCATAAGATTTCTGGGAAATATCCGCGTCTGGGATGAGTCGATATCCTGGGGCATTAGGATCTTGAGTGACTGGGCGATGAGACGTTTCTAGACCATTTATCTGTATCGCGTGTTGCTCTGATGCTTGCCAAAAACCATGTTGTTTTACAGATATTTCTCGTGCTGCTTCGTATTGGCGATGCGGTCTCGAACTGAGAGCGCCTTGAGAGTCTCGCCTTGGTGCTAAAGCTGGTTCTGATGGTACTGGGAATGAAGACTTGCTATCGACGATCGATTGTGAGATCATCATTTCATCCGACTTTTCAGCGGAAGGCACTGCATTACCATGAGAATACGCGGTCAGAGAACCTGGTTGCTCAGATGCACTCTGACTATTAAGCGTCAACTGTGCTGCTACCCCTGTTGAAGTATTTAATCCAGCTGGAAACTTAGATGCTGCATTAATGTTGTGAGAAGCAAGAGAGGCTATATCTTTTAAGCACACTTACCTGACGTATCTGAGATCGAATTGGTTTCCAGCGTACTCGTTTGTAACGAAACCTTGCGTTTTGAAAAGTTTTGATCGTGGTCGATGCTACTAGATCGACTTTTGCGGCGTTGATTCATTAATTCGGTGTCTATGAAGACGGAAGAGTTGTTAGAATAAACAAAACATCAGAATCACGAGAACGTACTTCTCATATCGATTCCGTCTTTCTGATCGGTCAATAAAGATGAGCGCCTGCGCTCCTGAACTCCCAATCTCGATGAGCGCCTGCGCTCCTGAACTTTTGATCGTGATGAATCACCACTACCATCGAGTAAGCTTTGCGACTGTCGCCTCGGGCTACCAGATTCATGTGACCCAAATGATCGTGGTCTTGATATGCTTTCAATACTTCCTTGAGATGTTTTTTGCGGACCGTTAAGCTCTCGTGATTCTCGCTCGGCATTCTGATTTGCTTCGGTTGCAAGCTTAATTTGGTCTTGATGGTATGCGAAAGCGTCACTGTCTAACTCTCGTTGCAAATCTTGCTCAATGGTCTCCATTCTCACCCCCTTTGATTCTTCTAAAACGTCAACAGTTGACACATCTACGAAAAGAATCCAGGCAATGTAAGCGCTGACGACATTACTTCATTCCGGTTTAAAATAGGTGAGTGACCTCTTAAAGCTTTCAGAAAGTGACGTTCATTAAGGAGATATGTGAGGCAGTGAGTAATGCAATACAACAACGAAATATACTGGCAACTAGAGCATCAGCAAAATTCACATTTGTGTCAAGATATGACGTACATCTTCCGGATCAACAGTGTCGGTCCACAAATCTACAATAAATTTACTCGTTATTTATGTAAGGTATCATACAAGCTGCATTTATATACGCACCGACAAGCTCAAACATGGAAAGATGAAAATAAGAATAATCCAGATAATCCTGCTCACCACAGTCTCGCTTCCAGTCATCCAGAATCAAATCTTTAGAGGCTTCGATGTCAAAGTCAGGCAGAACTAGTCGGTGCAAGCACAGCATGTACGTCTCATAATCAGCAAAAGTGAGTCTCGTCTCTCCATTTCGCAGTGCACATGACCAAAGGCGCTGAGTAAGAGCAATCATGTGGGGATGTTGCTGAAGACTCAAACGTTTTGCTAAATTATCCTACCACAATGAGCATAGGTATAGTGAGTGACGTTCAAGCCGACATTTAAAAAACCGTACCTCAGTATAATGATCCAAATTGCCTTGATAGCGGTAAGTGACCTCCGTACCAGATGTCGAGTCCCGTTCAGCTACAACGTGTCTACAATCCACCTCAGTAAATACTCAAATCCGAAATCTCAACAACCTCACCCGTCAGCCACGAGTTTTTGAACTTGGCTCTGTACACTCGAAGCAGCGGTAGCGGATATTCTGGGCACCTCTACTACAGCACTAGAATGTATCAATGCTTAGATTAAGCTCGGACAGCTGAGATCATAAAATCTGTTTAACCTTCGTTTACCGTCACTTCGACGTGATACCATCAAAGCATTGATTTGAAGTTGTGGCGTTCGCTTTAAATCAATAAGCGCTCGAACAGTGCCCTTAAATGTGCGCATCTAGTAGTATTTAAGTTTGAGCGAATTATCAAAGCATCGAGTATACGTCACGAATCATCACCGAATTGTCAAGTGGCTGGTCGCACACTACTGCTGCCTCTTGAGAATCACATTTGCTTGGTGCTCGATTCGGGATAGGACTCAAAGAATTGCTCAGGTTTGCTTGACCTTCCGGTCGTAATCCGGCTGGATGCATCCATGACTCTTTTGTCATGCCTTGCGAGTTTTGGGATTCAGAAATAGCCACTTACTCGAATATAGACAGGCTTTCAGCTCGTTGATGCTGAAAATACTACCATTCCTTTGCTGATAGTGATACGATCTTCATCGAAAATTTCAAATTTTTCTCTCATGTTTGCAAGCTGAAAACGAAGTGAGCACCATGACAAATTATGGAGGCAATTACACTAGACATTGCAGTCACCTCAAGTTTGCTGTAACATCTCGCCTTAAAGTCTTTGTGTATTCATCTTTCGAACAGTCAAATCGAAAGCATAATTTGTTGATTCATTCGGACTCAAATTGTCAAATCTTGTTTGTATATGAGTAACGGTCGGAAAACTGAAAAGGATGAATCAGGCGATACCTAATGTCTTGCATTCTTCTTGAGGTCTAAATCAAGTTGATGTTGAAATCATAAGAATTGACCTCATAGATGAAATGAGTCTTTTGTATTAATTTCCTTTCTCTCGACCCAATGCAGCAAAACTGCATTCGTCCGGATACTATTTACGTGATGGGTGAGTCAGCTATCAATCAACCTGACTAATTTCACCTCGTTTCTGAGGCCAAAAGTCGTTCAAATATCGCAAATTCCATCAACAAGCGATTTCTGGTAGCTCGATAATGCTTTTCAATACCAACTAACGTACAAGCATTGTGTCATCAAAGTAGATTTTACAATGTTTTAATACTGAGAAAAGAAGAGTTTGTGATGCTTAAACACATCTCACCAATTTAATACCTTAACCTTACTGTATCGTAATATAGCTCGACATTCCTCGAGTAATTCACGAAACTAAGGCAGGGGACAAAATCAAAATACATATGTGCCTACTTTACTGTGTGGCACGAAGTTTGTATGTTGCAAACGTACGACCATTGTAATTGAAGATTTGTATGCTCTGATCTACAGCGAACTCCTTGAGCTCTATTTTCGTTTACGATGTCGTCAAGCGCCGCCGTATCGAAGGGCAACCGCGTAGCCCAATTTATTGTAACCACTGCGGTCATCAGCATTCTGTACCAGATTATTACACGAGCAAGATTTGCTTCTGATTCGACGCTGCTCAATTCATCTTCGTCGGATCCTCGCTATCGCACAAATGAAGATCCTCGACGATTTACATCCTCCGAAATCGCAGGTTTCCTATTATTTCTGGGGCTTTTTGGGCTACTTCAGCGCAAGACAACTCAGGAAAGAAAGACTGGCATTGAGGCTAAGCAGCTCCAACTTAACGAATGCATGTCGACCCAAAGTCACGACTATAGAGCGTCTAAGGTAGGAGAATTTGTGACGTACTTGCCGTGCGAAGTTCTTCACGAATTGCTGCTGATGCTGTCTCCAAGAGATCTCACCGTTTGTCTTCTCGTATCTAAATCTTGGAACGTGAATATTGGAAATGGTGCCGACATGCTTTGGAGACGCGTTTTTGAGCGAGACTTTGGAGAGCCGGGAGACAGATTTGCCCAGGTGTTTCCGATTGAGTGCTGGCGACACTTCTACTTTCGACATCACTTATCACGAGCTGTTGAGCTTGCAAGACTCTTGGGCATAACACACAACCGTAAGTGTGTAGTGATCAAAGGCCAGGTGTACGATGTCACAGATTTTCTTTATTTGCATCCCGGTGGGATTCATGTGATTGGTGATGCAGTGGGAACTGATGCTACGCTCATCTGGGATCAGTTTATGCATTCGAATGAAGCCGAAAAGAGTATGCAGACCTTTTTGGTGCACGATCATGTACTTAACAGGCCAAAACATAAACAGCTACAAGGGAATCTCGAGGTTGTGAAGACTTCTTGGCGTAAAATATCCTGGGCGTTATCCCATTCCAATCATTTTGGACACTTGGCGCCACAGTTTGCCAATGCTGTCGTTCGCTATCATTCGCGAGTGGTCACATACAAGGTGACAGAGTAGATATAGTGAATACTGCTGTAAACATGATATATCAAGTTAATGTCTAGCTAATTAAAACAGCGTAAGGTGACGCTGATTCTTGGCTCACAGCAACGTGCCATCTTCGGTACTGCGTGTTTGTGGGTTGTCTGTGTTGACCCACCCATGATCATCAAGTCTCCGTCCCCCACTTGCAACTCCAACCGAGCCACAGCTTTATCATTTTGATGCGCATTTTTCGATATCTTTTTTGTGAATACAAAACGTCGAGACGCTCCCAAGGAAAGCGCAACGATGGGAGCGCCCACTATCATGTCTCGTTCATCATCTGCATGAGGTCCAATATAATGCTTCCCATTCTCATACCAATTAACGAGGCCCCCTGTTAATCTCGTGTGCTGTGTAGTGGGTACCTCCACCATTCGCTGCATGTGCTGCACCGCATGCCTTAATCCCAACGGATATTTTTTTTGCGCTTCATACGTCTGACCAGAGAAGCGGTAGCTCCCAATTTCACCACAAAGTTGCTGAAACCGCGGGAGCTTCGTAGGTTTACCAAACATCATTATGGTATCATAGTCTTTAGGATGTGCTGCCCACGCCTGTTTAAACATGTTTGACCAGGTAAATGACATTCCATCAATATCGTCATTTGCTGACCGAAAATCCTCAGACGTAGCGTGCTTGAAAATGTATTGATACCAGCGCGGTACATGGTACACCCAGCTCTTGCGGTCCGTCGTAAGGTACGAGACCGTTCCATTCCTATCAAGAAGCTTAGAAGCGACAGAATCTGGTAAGTGGCCGTACTTTATAGCAGCCTTTTTCACATCAGCCATTATATACTCTAGCGAATATTCCTTTTGATCTAGTGGCAGAGACAATCTTGCTCGCTTTCTAAGAACATTGTTGACTTCCTGTGCATTTCGAGTGCGCTTGGTATTAGCTCTAGAAGTCATATCAAAGAATTCAATTTCGTTCTATCAATAACAATACTATATTAACGACAATTACTACAACTGGAAAGTTCCGACGACTTGTATGCGTCAAATTCTTTTTTGAGCTAAAAAGCCCCGTTGCATAAATAAACCGACGCGCAACGCATTGCTCGCTCACTCGATAGTAAAGCCAGTTATGTCCATCTGCACAACCAGATTGACGTACTCTGCTAAGATTTTCTTCGACTTGTAAATAGGCAAATCCATACGATTGAAGCATGTGTGGGCCTTTGGAAACAGGAACGATTGGTTCAAGCCAGCAAAAGCAACATTGAATCGCCGCACACGTCCATCGCTGCTTATTAATCCCTTAAAACCTTGAGCTGGCACGCGGCTAGTACCTGTCGCGAATTGGAGCAAACGTACTCGATCCTCATTCTTCATCTCCTCTACTACTTCCCAAAACCACTCGATGTTCTTAAGCTCTAGCTCTGTCGGAAAGTTGTGCGTGAAAAACCTAAAATCCGTGTGCTTTTTCCAATCCTCCACGTCAATGGATGGTACACCACACATAAGTAGCTCAAGTTCCTGGTAGTCAAAGAGCTTGAGAAGTCCCTCAGGTACAACATCGTAAAGAGCCGTAAGGAATGACAGCAATTGAGTGCTGACGCTACCCATGACATGGTATTTAAACAATGCGTCCAAGTAGCGCGATCGATTTTCGCGCGTGACATCAATGTTAGCGCCTCCCTCAATAAGTTCGACGATGTAAGGTTTGCCGTCCACTATGCGGGTGACTGTAAAGTCGAGACACAGTGGCTCGATATCATCAATCTTTTTTACCATCATTGCACTATTGTAGATCTCATCATCCAGGAATTGCAAGTCTGAGAATGAAATTGGAACACCCAGAATGTGTTTTAAGAATGGGAGCGCAAGATGAACCGGCATCAAATGCTCTTCCAAAATGACCTTTCCCACAAGACGTCCAGCAAATTTATAAAAAGCCAAGAAATCTTCTTCGCCGTCTATCAGATTGGAGCTGGCATTGATCCAGTAGCTTCGCTCGTCTCCCACTGTGCTTACAAAAAGTCCTAAAGCCGGATCAAAAAGCTCAGCAAACAGCAAAGTGAACCATTCACGCATGACGCCACCGGCATCTAGCGCCGGTTCCCCGTCAAAGACGACACGCCATCGCTGCCTAAGCTGAAATGGCTTCATCGCAGTTACAAGCTCAAAAGAATCCTGCAACAAATGATCCCGTCGTACCACAAGTTCCGCATGACCAGATTCCCAAGGAAGCCACAATCGATGAATTTCAGTCGTAAACCAGCGAATCTTGTCTGGAAAAGGCAGATTATGCACTCCTTCCAAATTCATGATGAGTTCTGAGCTGCCTATGCCGTCGAGAATATTGATTCGATAATGAAAGTCAGTGGCTACAACATCACTCTCATTAAGCACTAATCTCCCAAGTGAGTCTCGCACTCGAATATATCCAATCGACAGGTTGCTATCCCGATCAGTTGCGTCCAGGTACCTACTAAGCGACGCTCTTCCTCCAGGATCGCTCTCCATCGAATCTCGTTGCCCTCTTCTTTGTTTCTTAGTAGACTGTTGCCTAACCCACCGGTGCAGTCCGTCAGTAGTTGGCATTCGTTTCCACTGCTGTCTTCGACTTGCAGCCAATTGCAATTTGCTTAATTTCTTCGTCATCATTGGTTTTCTCGGAAGCTCAAAGCTCGGTCGTCCACAAGACCCGCCAATAGCGTCATCGGCCTGAGCAGACGAAAATGCCTCTGTTTCACCAATTCTTCCCATTCTCTGCGCTGAGTTCGTACTCAAATTACCACTTGAGTAATTGTTGTGTCCTGTAGAGCCTGAACGTTTCTTATTACCTGCCACGTCCCGCTCTGCACCTTTTAATGTCTGGCACAAATCGCAAAGTTTTCGCTCTGGGTGGTTTAGAAACTTACAAACACCGCAGCGCCATAAAGCTTGTTCCATAAAGCTATCATGAAGCTCCTCTCGATAAACGTCAGCCGTTTCTTGAATAAATACAAGTGACTCACGTTCGCGTTGAAGTTGCACACGACGACAAAAGAAGAGCAAAATGACGATGGTCCCTACAAAGAGAAACACGCTTAGCGCCACGAGCACGGCCAGACTTGCTGTCATGTTTAATGTGCCACTTGGGCGGCTGAGTCAAAGTGGGTCCCACGAGTAAGCTCTGGCCACCACGTTAAGTCCGTTTGGTTGTACAGTAGCATGCCCGCTAGAAAGTTTTGTTTTAATTGGATGTAAATTTAAATGGTAAGAAATGATTGGGCAATAAATCTGGCGGAGTGTTTGTTACACGGCCGTGCGTCATACTTTTGCACAGCAGATGGCTAGCGTATAGGTTCGGCTAAGCAAATGACTCATTAAATTTGACTATGTGGGACTGAAATACATACACGAAGCAATTTGGCACCTAGATATCAATAGGTTGCAAAGAAAAAGAGACCTGATGTGGGAATGTGTGGTATAACCAGAACAAGTGATGAGTGCTTTTGTGAGATTGTGCATTTTAAATGGCTATATACCTGGTGGATATACAGCCAAGTGTTTTTTCCTCATGTACTCTGTTCGACGATATAGATCGCGCAAACCTGAAATTGAGATGCAATTTTCCAAATAATCTTGAAGCTAAGCTTTCTATCGCAAATCGTGTACTTTAACTTTTGATTAGGATTGCTTTTCGCTAGGTTATTCTGACGTAGTAAGTAATCCATCGCTTCAACATCATGATCGTTTGAAGAGATCTCGGCCAAGAGTGCAAAAATCCCTCGAGCAATCACGTGCCACATTCATTTCAGTTCTAGACTGGTGCTTGCAAACTTCATCCGTGTTTCAAACATCTTTTTTGATGGTGACAGATGTATGGACGGAGGCGTTGTTGTGCAGAAAGACGCACTGAACACCATATTTTCGTGTTATGAGTTTAAAAAACAGATCTGGCCCAAATCATGTAAACACAGGATACAATACGTTTCACCCAATGCAAGCCATCCAGATTAATTTCTGATATGTTGCGACTTGTATTTACGACGAATATTACTATAGAATTGATGATTGATCGTAATTCATGCTAAAGTTTTCACAAATGCTTTGGTTTTTGCAGGTATCGCTGGAAGTTCCAGAGAGTCGTCGGCACTTTGAGTTTTTTCGCATTTTTAGGTAATTAGCAGGTATGTTTGCCTGACTTAACACACTATTGAAAATTTGGGCATGTTGGACACACGAGGAATAGTAAATAGTAAAATACAGTAGCATTAGAATCAGCTGTTGTGGTAAAATGATCGTGATTGTGTTGCACACACCTAAAATGACATTGGTCAAAATCGGTGCAGTGTTTAATTGGGAAAAATCGACAGTCGAATTACGATGATTATAGATTATCCTAAGAGTAGCCTGAAAATTACTCTGGCTTCATACACAGCAACTCGGACGCGAAGCGTTCAATTGAGGACGAATCAGCGTCTCAACAGTATCATGTAATTGAGAAATCGCGTTGTTAAGAGTAGGGATTCGATTATCAGCTGCTTTTGTAACTGGGTTACACATACCCTGGTAAATGGGCATGGTGTCACCATACCCAAACTAGAATACGGTACGGAACTGGATAGCCAGTAGTTATACATGTATTTAGATTTTACTATACATATTTAGGAAAATCTATACATTTCAAATTAGGCGGCTTTGCCGCAGATAAAATAAAAAGTCAGATTTTGAATTTAAACGGAAGAGTTAATCAACCTTGGATTAAGATTGTAATCACTTTTGGAGTAAGCGAATTGCGATCCGCTAAACTCGTACAAAAGGTTGGTGACATAACTTACGCCTCCTCTAAGCGCAAAGCTACGTCAGCCCGCTGTACTTGGTAGCACTTGTAGTCAATCCACATCTGAGTCGTTAAGACTGATCCTCGGTGAGGATGGAAGAATTTTCCTCTTTATGCAGGACGGGCTTAAAAAGCTTGCTTGGCCTTGAGGGCGTGCAACACCTTGCTGCACAAGACCCCGGGGCAATCGGTGCGCGTCTAGAGGCGTTTTCAAATTACGAAAACGCGCTGCTAGAGCAC